AATAGAAAGAACCTTGTTGAATAATCCTTTTGACTGATGTATGTCTATCATTACCTTATTAAAAGGATAAGTGAATTATTAAGGCTTGGCAAGAAGAAGAGAGTCTCCCATAATCTCTGGATGGAATTCCCTGAAACAACAGTCAGACGTTTTTACTGGTCAAAGAAAACAAACATATAAAATAGCACAATTTTCAAACTACAGCAACAATCTTCATTCATTCACGGATTTTTCCTCCCCTTAATATAGCTTTAATACCTTACGGAAGATTTCCCCACATCTTTTAAGAGGGGACATCTTTACAAAGAGTAAAGCAAGAAAGGAACAAATCCAGGAGAAAACGAAGATCACAAAAGGATGGGCTTTAAAATGTCTTCCTCGCCTTTAGTTTTCTACCGAATTCTTCTACTGTGAGAGTCTCAAGCACCTGACTCATCGATTTCACCTGTAATTCTGCACTGGCATTTTATCAGCCCTGTCTTCCGAGAGGCTGCTTCCACTCATACCCACGAAATCATCCAAAACAGAACAGATTTAGAAACAGCTCTAGACTCCCAATTGTCTTATCATTCTTTTCAGCATTCCAACTAATTTTACCCTCTGCTATACTTCCTGCTCCTCCCCAAGCCCTTGGAAAGTGTCAACCTGAACACTGTTTATTGAACTGTCTGGCTATCAAACTACATTGCCATATATCAATAAAGCTGTGGGCATCTGGAGAGTCAGTGGGCGGAATGATCTGTTGTTTATGTTAAAACAAACGAAACAACCCTTTCTGCGTGCAGAGCTGCACTGCTCTGTGGCCCAATAAGGCTTACTCCTGAGACAGAGGACCAAGACACAGGAGGCAGCTTCAGAACCTATAGCAAGATAACCAAGTAAAATCCTAATTTGTATTTATTCCCCCTATATTTTCCCTTTCATCTCATCTCAGGACAGGAGTCAGGCCTCTAGCATTTCCCTCAGTGATTTTTTAAAGTGCAAAACAAAAGTCACTTTCCATCAAAGGCTCTTCTGTCTTTTGCAAATACCTAAGCTATCTGCAGAAAGGATGACAGCGGGTCTCATAGGGAAGAGGAGAGGGGTGCTTTTAAGATCAAAGAGAAAAAAGAGGTGGATCAGAGGTTGTGACGGAGAAAAAGGTTAGTGGGGCCCAAGGCTAAGAGAGATCCACATTCAACTCCTCTCCTTTCAGAATGGAAAGGCTGGCCCCCAGGCACAGATGCTCCATGTCTTCCCAACTACTTCCCTGGGTCCCAGAAGCCAGCGACCATGCGGGCTGGAACAAAGGGACCCTCAGCAGTGACTGGTGTGGACCATGACCATATCCAGGGGGTACAACACCGTAGGTCATTGGCACAACACAGTGATACAGGAGCTTCCAGCTGAATTTAAGGTGATTTTTTTTCTAAATGAGGAAATGTCGTGGTTTTTGCACATACTGTTCGGTGCACTAAGATTTGCATGGGGACCTCCTGCAGGATGGCAAAGACCAGCTGAGTGATGCGTATCTGCAGTGGACACCGATCATGGGCGCTGGGATTCAGGCTACTTCATCCCGAGCCCATGTCCAAGGCTGTTGTAGAACCAGTGTAAAGACATGAGTGCAAACCCTTGGAAGACAAGCTGACTAGGGAAAACCAGGGGCTGTGGTGAGCTTGGGTTGGAAAGGATACTTTAGAACACTTTGAAATCCCTGGACATACCAGCCAGGCTTTCTGGAGTACCAAAATACAGATCACTTGTTTGTTATTGTTATCTTGACTTTGTGGAAGTGAATTCAAAACAGGACAATGTCAACTAACAAAAAACAAATAAAAGGATTGTTTGCAACATTGTAATACTTGTACAAATTAAAAATAAATGAAATAGATTCTGGGCAGACACAAGTTGGTCAGAGAAGGAAGTGAAAACAAGTGTAGCTTTGTTAGTTTGCTAGGATTACAGTCCTCCATAATTCTTAGGAAAATATCTAGAAAGATTTTACGGTCTCTAAGTTAATTCTCTTTTGAAAAATTAAAATTCTCCCTGGAGAGCGAGAGGCACAGAGGAGCCAATAGACATTCCACTGGGGAACGATCCCAGGTGTTGGGACAGCAGCAGAGTAAACCATTCTGCGGCGTTTCCCAACGTTTGCAACGATGAAACTCCCCCACCACACCCACCACTTGATCTTGAGGAGAGGCATTTGAATCCTGTTGGGGAACGTCGTCAAGAAACTGCCGCTTGTTTTTCCATTCTTGAGATACCTCACTTAGTAGAATGCGTTCCAGCTCTATCCAGGAGTATACAAGAGGTGCTCTATCACCATTGTTTCTTAAAGCTGAATAGTACTCCAT